TTGATGAACGACACTTCTGCCTTCCTTTCCGGGAGAGCTGACGGAGGGATGACTACACTTGTTAAAGTAGGTTTCAAAGTAGGTTCAATGTTTTCTATGGGATGAGTATATGTTATTTTTGGTGTTTATAAATAGCGTATATAAACAAAATTCCGCGGAATCATATTAGGCATATTTGTGATTACTATATTTAACTCATCAGCCTAAATTATTAATATTATACGTGTACGTTAGCGTGCAGACGCAGAATTTCTCGTGTCAGTGCAAACAGATAGATTCAGTTTACATGGCTTCGGTATTAATGCATGAAAGTTTTCGCATTCACATTAGTGACACAGCGATGTGTCACCGCGGCAGGCTTTGTAGCAAGCCAGGTCGGTATATCGCTGTGTTCATGCAGTTATAGTATCGCATGATCGAGCATCTTAGCGAGCTGTCATGCTTCATAAATAGGTATTACGCAGAGATGTCGGCTTCACTAGAAATCAGTGAACGCCAGATGATACAAAGGGAGGCAATTTGTATGTTAATGCGTTGTAATGCAAGCAAATGATACGTGGGCTATTAGTGACCGATGCTTAGTACAGCAGCTCGCGACGAGGCAGCTTATTAAAGATTGAATACTCCATCTAGCTTTAGCTTAGACTTTCTGTGAGCAGTGCAACATTTTACAATCATGAGAATTCGAATGACTTAAGCACGAGAACACTGTACGGTGCATTCATTCTGTTTTTATGCAATGTTATTAGTTGGCACAGGATTGATAACAAAGATTTTAGGTACGTGTTATGTAATATATGTTATGTATATATATCAGGAGCTAATGATGACAAATTGTCATATTATTTGTCATTTTTGTCATATATTTGTCATAATAATTTGTCATTATTAGCTCCTGATATATATATATATATATATGTTAGGTATACAGCGCTAGACTACGCAGTACTGCTACGACTTTTAACTATAGACCTGCCATAGTTTAGTTTATCACTTTCTTCTGGCGTTGCCTCGGTACAAGCAGCTCCGCACACTGCGATGCTTTTATACCGTAAAAATGTGTTCACTCTAATCAACCTATCAATTTGTTTATCTTGCGTGAACTTTGATCTAATGGCGTAACGTTCCAAGATTGCCGAGAGACGATATAGGTCATACTTCATCGTCTTCATCGACGTATTTGCATTGCGCGCCATGTTCACAAGTATACTGCTCCCAGAACACGTTCACACACACACACACACACACACACACACACACACACACACACAC